AATTTAAACTGTTTAATTAAATTTTTATATTTTTAAAAATTATCAATTTAAATAATTAAATTCAATTTAGCAGTCCAGATTTGTAGTAATCCCTTCTTTGCTTTACTTTGTAGAGGAGGAAAGCCAATTCCTTTTCTTACCCTCTCTTCCCCCCTTTCCTATCATCATTGTTAGATCAAAACTTTCCAACTGTTTAGGTTTAATTTTTAAAAAAAATTAGATATATTCTATTCATTAAATATGGAGGAGGGAACAAGATGAAGATGATAGCATTATCAATAAGGGAAACTACTATTGCGGTATTGCTTGTTGTGTGTATGTCAAAAGTCTCACATTGTCTAAATGAATAACTCTTCTAGTGTATAAACACTAAGGAATGAAGTGGGCTAGTAAAATGGCTTGGAGGAGAAGTTAGCTCGTGCACACGAAACAAGCCAACTTAGGGCAATCGCAATTGAAATCAATCGATTCGCCCCCTGTGTGCAGTTCAAGAGGCACTGGGTTCCTTTTACCTGATTTTTTTACAAAAAAAATAAATAAACAATTATTTTTAGCTTACTCGAGAACCTAAATTTTCACTGTTTAAATTTGAATTTGATGCCTTGACAGTTTTTGGGTATTAAACCATTTCTCAAAACTAATTTTGTCTTAAACGCCCTTGTTTGCCAATGCTCTAGATTAATGGCGTTTTATGTGTGTGTAATCGAAGCCTTAATCTGGTGATTATGAGCCAATGTTCATGTCTCTATCTTTGGCCTATATATAGCCATGGGTGTGGATAGATCAACTCGCCAGCCTTTTAAGCTTTTGGGGCATTTCTCTCCTCCCTTCAGCTTCTGCTGTGTTGTTCATTTGAGTTCATTTTTAGTTCTTGTGTTCTAGTGCCTTGCTTCTGTAGGAAGTTAGTTCTTGCTTAATTGTAATATCCTCCTTATATCTCATTATTAAACCCAAATCTCAAGAAATTAGGAAAAATGAGACAATATAAAAATTATAAATATAAAATTCTTATTGGTTGACAAATGGGGACCTTAAGATTATAAATCTAAGTCAATCAAGTCTTGTAAAAGGCTAAACAAAGTTTACAAATATGCAGAAGTAAGGATTATCATATAAGTAGTTACATAGGTGCAACAATCTGGAACAAGAAAAATTTTAAAAATTTAAAAGGCTTGCACCACGACTTATTGAACATGTACCGCAGCGTGTTCGCCTCTGTGACACACACCGAGGCTTGTGATGCCATGTGCCGTGGCACAAGTGCATGAATTTTGACAATGAATTCTACTGTCAATTTGACAGCTTTAAAGCTAACTTCCAATGAGCCCCAATTCTTCGTCCGACGTCTAAATGATGCAAACTAAGAGTTTACGAAAAGCTCTTTTGGGCTCTAACTAATGATATTGGTCTGAAGCTCAAATTATTTTTTAAACAAGAATTGGACATCCTTTCAAAACTTATTCCTTTACCTCAACTTTCGTAAAATTCAAGTGTCCTATCCCAAAATTAAGGTCCAATGGCCACTGACACCAAATGACCACATTCAACTCAACAAAGTTAATTCGTGCAAAGCCCCAAAACAAAAGAAATATGTCCAGATCAATTTTTACTACTTTCTCAAATCATCACAAATATTGCTACACTCACTTGCATTAGTTATTTTGGCCTTATCAACATAACACATAATAATCAAATCTCTCACTAGGGCCCAAAATACCAATTACAATTTACTTTTTTCTTAATGCAAGTAACAAAAAGAAAAAATCCTAATTGGCAATCAAAATTGTCATACACATAAATTACCTAATTTAAAGAGGTCTACTACAAAAGGATTGTGATCCTAAGCCTCGGGTTGCTTTCCTTTATCACACTTCTTGAGCTATTTTTTGAAATATTGAAGGTAATGGGGTGAGTACAACTATTCAGTAACTAAAGTCCGACTAACTTATGCTAATGCATGACAACTAGTTTAAATGCAAGTAGCAATTAATATTAATACACTAAACCATGTGAGATATTTGAAAACTTGATACCCACAATTTAGCTCCCATAATAGCAACTATTAGGAGGAAAATATCACTTTTAGCACTTTTTATAGAGATAGAGTTGGTCAAGCAATTTATTGACAAGCATAAAAGTAGAAAATAATGCTCAACTCAAAATGCCATCATTATGGATTCAATATAAACAACAAGTATCTTTACTCACTATATGCATGATCACACCTCCCTTATCACCTCCTTATTCCTCTGACATGAAATCGTAGGCTATAACTCAACGGGATAGTCTGTATTCTTTGACTTCTCTAACCTAAACACTTGTGAGGGGATTACTCGGCTAAGGTGTACCTAACTCACTTATGGATCATGGTTTCCCTCATTTCTCACACTATGGGGTGTCATATACCCTAAACTAACTTCCTCATTAAACCGGTGGATAGCTAGATAGGTTTGAATCCCTCATTGAACTAGTAAGACAGTCCCTCATTGAACCAGTGGGACAATAAGGATAGAATCAAACTAAGCAATCCACCACATGGATAGGGCCTTACCACGTGGATTTCTTATTTACTCCACTTCCTAGGCGAACTCCCACCCTTCAAGATTGTGCAATGGACATTCATGCCATAACTCACATATATATAATTCATAGAACATCACATTATCCAATCATTGGACTTCTCACATATATTTCATGAAACTTCAAAACTAAACAAGTCATTGAACTCCCAAATCACAATCATTGTACCTCACACTTTTAAAATCAATTGAACTTCATCATTACACAATCATTGAACTTTTCAAACACATTTCATGGAACTTCTAAACCAAACAAATCATTGAACTCCTGAATCACAATCATTGTACTTCACACTTTTAAAATCATTGAACTTTCCTATTTTTGAACATCATTGGACTCCTCATAACAACGATTCATTTTACTTCTCAATTTGTAAAAATTATTACACTCCCAACAGACATTAATATGAAAATCCACCACTTTTGTTTTCGAGAAAAAAATTGCATCATAAGGAATAAAACTCCCAAATTTAATCTAGTAGATTTCTTCACAAATTAAACCACACTTGCATTTTCTCTAGTTTGTACATTTCAATAATAATTCATAAATCAATAAACTGATAGATGCACAAGCGATAGAATTTTTCCTGTTATCTCAAGCTTTTAAAAGGTCAAAGGTTTCACCCCTTAACTATTCGCTCCCGAAACTTTCAAGAAGTTTGAATGATGCCAATGGTAATTACACTACAAGCATTTACCATGCAAAACATTAATATCTATTTTGAGCTATTTTTCACAAGCATTCTCATTATTTCTTAATACTCAAGCTTTATTCTAAACTCATGGAGGAGTACCCATAAGGTTTTTTAACTTCCTTTAACTCTCATTTATAACATTAAGCTCTTAAATGGGCACTAATGAAGCCACATTATTCCAACTACCAAATTATAAGAATTTCAAACATTTAATGTCCTCCAACCATCAATCATCATAAAATCATAATTATTAAGTTTACTTAGCTTAATCTACCCCCATTAACTCTATTTAAGTCAATAAATTTGGACATATAACCTCTATGGATCAAAAATCACCATTAGAAATCAAACCTTAACTTCTACCATTAAGAAAATGGAAGAGAGGAGGAAGATTTAAGCTAAAAGGCTTACCTTGAGTGTTTATGAGCTTCAAATTACTCCCAACAATCAGCTTCTTCAAACCCTAGCTCAGCTTTTTTGCCACTCCTTCGTTCTCCTTTGTTTTCTCTTCTGTTTCACATTAAGTTTGTGACTTAATACTGCAAAATTCTGGCCATGTGTTGAGGCGGATGCACAATACGCAGCAACGCATGGTATAGAGAGCTTCTCCCAGGCGTGTTGGCACGCGTGCGCCGCTGCGGACCAACCCCACGCCGCGGCCCATAGCACAGAATCGCTCCCTTCAAAAATTCTTCCTCTTCTATCCTCGGGTAACTTGATTCCTTCGGACCCACGTTTGGTACTAAAATCGAGATCAAACACGTCCATTAGGCCTCCCTAGCCACACAACTCAAAGATTCACTTTACTAATCTTTTTAGACTTAATTAATCTGGATTTAAAATTGAGAATGTTACATTAATCCTGAAAAACTGCCAGTCCACTGTGCCCGTGTGCCGAAATAGTTCTTAAGGACAGTGTCCTCATACATGACTCAAGCAGCTCGTGATTTACCTTTGTACTGCCAACATTGCTGACATATTGAACTTTCAAGGTTTGTTTGAAGTGAGCAAGGGGGAAGGGGCATGACTAATACTTCACTACATATTCAAGGTTTGTTAGAACATTACATTTTTATTTTTCACATTCATTGTTAAAATGTCATGCTCACTTATCACTTTTCATATGCACACCTGCAAAAGCAATACTTGCACTTGTCATTTCTTACTATCATATGCTTGTTAAAACATTACATTGCTATTTTTTCACTAGTGCTTATTAAGAAGTTATGATTATTTGTCATTTTTCACATGCATGCTTGTTAAAATAATACAGTCGCTTATAATTTTTCACTACCATATGTGTTAGATAATTATACTTAGTATTTCTCAAATTCGTGCTTATTAAACGTTTATAGTTACTTATTATTTCTCATACATACTGAATTCTCATGATAATATTTCTATCAGATGAAATTTCGAAGTGTTTTTTTTTTTTTTAATCTCTCTTCGCTCGCTCTTTTCGTCTCATGTCATGTCAAAAACTTCAAAGTAACTTTTAGAATGTTATAGTTTTTTCTTTTTTTATCCTTCAAATCAGTTTTCCTATAAAACTAGAAGTACGAATACGTTGAAGGTGTGATGAAGAAATGTACTTAAGATGGACTCCCAATTTTTAAATTTATGCTCCAAACATAAATCTCACCCACTTATATTATCTACCAATATATTTTCGCTTAGATTAAAAGGCATGTTAGAGTTTGCTTTTAGTTGTTACTGTGAAAAATAATTAGCTGTTGATTAAAGAGATTGTTGCATTTCAATAAAATTGGAGTAATGATGATACAATTTAAATCAATAATTGTCATAATGACAAAAATAAAAATGATCAACCCGTAATCTAACTGACAGCGGAACCAACTAGGATCCTCCACTTCAGTCGGGGGCGTGGAATAAATGAGGTATAAAGAACGAGTAAGGTTAGTGAATGGTGAAATGTCAAGAGGGAGAGATAGATCCAAGAGAGGAGGAGTCCTTTTGTGAGACTGAGAAAGTACAAGTGATCTCAAAATTGAAACTTGAGGAATGCTGCTGCTTCCTGCATTGCAATAACTTCACTCTCCTTTAATCTCAATTCTGTCAATAGTGACCAGCGAGTAATGCCACTAGGAATCTAATTAGTGGCGTTTCAGTGTTACTTATTTGTGGCATCAACTCTTCCTCTTCTTCAACTCCCTTGTCATTGTCATGATTAACCATTTCTCTTCTCAATGGCCCCACCTCTCCCCTTTGTCCTCCACGTCTCCTCACCTCCACAATTAGCGAATCATGAAAAGGCCTATAACTACGGAGGAAATAGAAATGAGAGGTATAACAATGGTTGAAATCCCCAAACTCAACTGGACCATGTGACCAATCAACTTTCTTAAGAAATGGAAGTAAACCACGCCAACCTTTGCTGCCCCATTTTTAGATCTGCCATTTCCCTATTCTCCAATCGCATTTCCACATGCTTATATCCAACACCATAGATAATCCTACCCTCCTCACGTGCCAACACCTTCATACTCACTTTATTCAATGACAACCTGCGAAGATCCAAATAATTGACGACACACACCAGCCCTGCAATTATCCCTTTCATAGTGCCACCCAACTTTATCTGCTTTCCCCCACTCTCATATAGTTGTAAATGAGAGAGCTTGGGAAGGACAGTTGAAGAATGGATTTGATCCAAACTTACGCAGGCAACAGCATGTAAGCTTTCAATATTTGGGGCTTGAGACAGATTTGGGAGTGCTGTGAGACCTCGAGCCCCCCTACATCGATCACCTTTAGATTTGGAAAAAGCTGCAAATCAAAACATGTTTGATAAATCAGATAACTAAATAATTTCATCATCAATTCCTCTCACCGCAATTAAAAGAGAGACATTATTATGAAAGAACTCAATCAACACATTTACAAACTGAATAGGATTTAAGACAAACATAGTCCGTCATGCTTCCTCCGACATGCTATGACTAGTTTTACCATTCATGCGACACTGAAGCAAATGAATGTGTACATTGTGAATTATTTGGTTACTATTTGACACTTGAGATACCTAAAAAAAATTAAGATCAAGAGGTTCCTTGAATCACAAAAAAAAGGAGGGGGGATATTCTTTAGACATTAGGAAAAATGATACGTACCATGTCTCCATTCCAAAGTTGTTGGATATAACTATCACGCATTCGAAATTCAACAAGATTCTGCGCACAGAGTTTTAATGGCACATATGATAGAGGACATCTTTCCCAACTAAGAAACCTTAGTCCCTCTGGCAGATAATCCACATTCTTCCCCAATATTCATCTTTAAAGACTTCCACCCATCAGACTTGTAAACTTTGAGGTATATTAAATTATACATCTTTTGCAATTTAATAGCCCCAAATGTCCTCCACTTTATCTTGCTCATGTCCACTGACAAGCATCGAATTGCCCCCTCCCCCTGTGAAGAAAATCAACAGGCAAACACACACAATTAAGATTACATAAAAAATGACAAAAAACCCCCCCCCAATAAAGAAAAACAATCAAATATTCTTGATTTTCAAAATATCGAAATAAATAATGCTGCTGTGCGATTTATTTAAACATTCTTTCATTCATGTTTTATTCAGAATAAAAGAATCCCTCAAAAAATATATACCACACCTGCATACACGCTTAGCTATAAGAATTTACAGCTCCATGCAACACTAGCAATTTGAATCGTGAGAGGTTCTTAAAGGAGTAATCTAATTAAAAAATAAAAACAGAAGACATGAAAACATCATCATTTTTATTAAAAAAAATCTAAATGAATATGCTTTTCCTGTGCTAAAAAGAAAATCACCATTAAAATCGTATGTCCACTAAAAATATATTTTACTATTACAAACATCACACTAGCCATAGAATTTTTTTTTTTTTTTTGGGTTTATATAATCTATTTCAAAGCCTAAGAAGACGATACGTCACACGCAATGCAAAAGCTCTGTCCCAAATAATTTTAGTCATTTAAATCAAGAAATGATTTCCTTTACAAGCAATCTAATTTAAATATTTAAGATACACAAACCGAAAGAACATCGAGATAAATAATGTAGACCCCAATGAAACTTTAGTCATTTAAATGGAGAAAGGTTTCTCAAAAGATTAATCAGTTAAAAAAAAAAATTCAACATATAAAGACAAAACAAAAGAACTTCAAGATATATATTCACCTCCACTTATTTCCACCAAAGATTTTATTGAATAAAAAACAAGCAGACAAACAAATATCACGGGAATCTAATAATTAAGATGATAAAGAACTGAGATAAAAAAATGATAATAAATAGTAGATTGGATTCAATTATACCTTGTTACACATGAAAAATCATCAACATCCTCGGGCCTCCATAGCCGAACAAGGCATTTACAATCAGAGAATGACTGTTGTCTTGCAATTTGAAGGCCCATTTCCTTCACAAGATCATGCATCTCAATATAGCCATCAAGATCAAATGAAATGAGGGATCTCTCTCTAAGAACACTCATATCAATATCTGCAGAAGAGCCATGTATTTGTCTTATTGTGGTCAAAGAAATCTCAACTCCTTCCTTGATGAAAAACGACAAGTCAAGCAAGAAACACATTCTGTTGTTTGTCGTCCAATTCATCAAAACTCACTTTGAGAACATCGACAATGTGTTTTGGTGGATCCTGATTTAGTTATCCAAAGCACTTCCCACTCTCGTTTTCCTCTACCACAAAGAAAGCAACCCAACACTACCAAAGCTAATGGATTTCCTTGACAATAGTGCACTATTGATTTTGATAACTCCATGAAACCTTGAGGTTGCTCATTTTGCTTGAAAGCTTTCAAACTAAAGAGATGAAGGGCATCTTGGGAATCCAATTTTGAAACTGTGTATGTTGTTGCACAAGCATCTTAAGCACTTGCTTGTCTCTTGAAGTGATAATAATTCTACTTCCTTCCCCAAACCAATCACATACTTTGATCAAATCTTCAACTGCAATGAACTTGTCCACATCATCAAGCACCAGAAGAATTTTTTTTTTGTTGGAGCCTACTTTTCACAAAAGTCGATTTCAATTGTAAATGTTGATATCCTCATCTTTTAGTAATTCTTTAAGGCGTTTTCCGTTAATACATCCAATCCCTTTCTAGCTAGTTGTTCTCTGACTTTTCAATAAAGCAGAAAGCTTCAAATTGTGCTTTCTTCAACTGCAATGAACTTGTCCACATCATCAAGCACCAGAAGAATTTTTTTTTTTGTTGGAGCCTACTTTTCACAAAAGTCGATTTCATATTGTAAATGTTGATATCCTCATCTTTTAGTAATTCTTTAAGGCAGTTTTCCTGTAATACATCCAATCCCTTTCTAGCTAGTTGTTCTCTGACATTTTCAATAAAGCAGAAAGCTTCAAATTGTGCTTTCAAATGTGAAACACAACTTTGGCAAGAGTGGTCTTGCCAATACCACCCATACCCCACGTTCCCACAATGCGAAACTCATGTAGTAGCTCTTCAATTTCATTATCTGGTGATCGATCCCAACTAGTCCTTCAACATGAAAGGATGACTTCCGATTCAATTGCTCTCAAAAAATCATCAACGATCTCTTTAACAAGTTGGATTCGGGCCTAGCGCAAATATAAAATAAAAGAAAAATCATATTCAAAGTTCAAAGAAAAAGAATTATAAAAGAAGAATGGTTAAAAGCTACCTAACACTCTTGGAATCCCATCCAGAGAGACTTGTTGATTGGATCAAAGCATTTATCCACTTTTTCACTTTTTCTTGGTTGCATTTAAACCTTTGCTTAAGCTTAGCAAATCCATATCCGAAACTCCCATTTTGTTTACGAATACTTGATGGATCTACATTGTAGAAAATAGGAATGGCAATCCTTCTATATTTTGGTTGCATTCCATGATGTGAATGAGTTCTTCCATACACCATGTTGAAGAAGCATAATCTTGAGAGAAAATAATCAGAGAGATCTCTGATTCCTCAATTGTTCTCAAAAGAATTGGCGAGATATTATCTCCTTTGTGGAGCTTGTGATCCATAAAAGTTCGAATGTTTGCCTTGCAAAGTGCTTCATAAAGATGACTAGTGAAATTGTCCCTGGTGTCTTCCCCTCTAAAGCTAAGGAATACATCATACTTGATTGCAGGAGGAGCAATGTCAACATGAGAAGAACCCGTGGAAGTTGAATCAACATCATCTTTACAACTTCAAACAGAAAGAAATCATCAACAAACATTGGTTTATCAGCAAATCATACAAAAAGAGAAAAAAAAGGAAAAAGAAAAAAAGAAAGGCTGAGTATGGGGTTATTTAGAACAAGTTACCGAGGAGAGATTCTGAGAGCTTTGTAAATTGCTGCAGCCAACAGCACCGAAGCAATAGCTGCACTCATGTGGAGCAATTTCTTGCTTCAGCCTTCAACTTTAGCTTTGGAAATCCCGAATCCAAACAGAGTATTTTAAATTCAGATTTAAGAAAATATCTCATATTTGGTTGAGACATGGATTTTAGTAAGAAATAAAATCCTATTCTGTTATATTCTATTTCATACAGGGCGTCCTACCAATACTCATCTATTACTGTTAGGTTAGTTAATTATTTTTCATTTCTAAACTAAACATACACAAATAATTTTATCAACTATATTAAATTTTATTTTAGTCTGCACACTTCGCAATTTGTTCCAAGAGTGAAAGAATTGATCCCTCAAGCTTTCAGAATTCAAACCAACCAAAAAAAAAAAAACCCTCAAAATGAGCAGAAATATAATTTTAAGTCAGGAGTGGAAATGAAATAATGAAGATGAAATCAATATATATAAACGAAATTGCTATCATAATCCATGTTTGATGAGTAACAATAAAATGGGGAGTGATGAAGATGAACTGATGAAAGAAAGAACAAGCACTTGGCTTTTGAAATTAAAAAAATAAAATAAATATGCCGTTTGCTTCACAAAAAATTGAATATATAAACGAAGATCACTTTCACTAACAGATCAAATTTCAAGTCCAACCGCAAATAGTTAAAGGTTTTGTGACCTTGTTTTTCAAAAGTTACAGCATTAAAGATCTATGACAGTAAGGTTGCTAGGAAAAGAAAATAGCAAATCTTTTGCAGATTTTTTCCAGGGAAAATAGCAGAACAGTAAAAATCAAGGAAGTAGATGAACAAAGAGAAGGATTAACCTGAAAGGACGTGGATGGAAGAAGCAAAGAAAAGAGCTTACAAAGTCTCAAAAATGGCAGCTTTGATCGGCAATTGATTGCAGATTTCCTTTCCTTGCTCTCTCTTCAAACAAGTTCTTCGATTCAGAGATCAGAAGATGCCTCACCCTTCATCTCTCTTCTCTCGCAGTCTTTTTATATTTCTGGCTCTGCGAAGCTAAGCGTGTCGGTGGTGTCGCCGTGTTGCACTGCTACTTCATCGCACCTCTCGGGCAGCTTTAGTAAAAAGAAAAACATGAAAACTCACTACAAATAAATCAAGGATTTTTATGTGATATCACTTGGTACAATAAAATGTTTTACAGGGAAATGCGTTTTTCACTCTCAAAAATTCTGAAGCATTGACTGCAATCGAACATTAGCAGTATACGATTACTGTTAGCCTTCAAAGCAGATTCAGACTACCCTCACTAAGAAAGCACCACGAACGAGGGGAAAAAAACAGAGGGTGAGGGGAAGGAGGGGGACGAGGACTGACCACGGACGAGGAAGACGGAAAACCGCCGAACCAGATGACGGAGGCAACGCGGGCAAGGAACAAAAACGGAGGTGCATAAAGTGGTTTCGGCTTCTCTAGTGCTCTCCAGAACCACTAACAATATTCGGTGTCGTTTTCTATTATGAAGGTGAGGTCGTTGTCCATTTTGCTTTGAAATCTCAGGCATTTGCTGCTGAATTCCTTTTTTTTTTTTTTTTAAATAATGCATCCATAATAAACTTTATAAAAAAAAAAAATCTATAGCATTTGAATTTTTTTTATACACATACTTATTAATTAATTATATTTTAAAGAAAAATTATATAACAAAGAAAAATTAATAGTAATTAAGAGATATTGATTTTAATTCTTCAAATAATAATAATTTTTTGGGAAAACTTATTGACATTATATATTCAAAATACTTATTTCTAATTACGTTAAGATATGTGGATTTTTTATGGATTGTTTGTTCTATTATAAACCATTTTTATTAGTAATATTAATACATTAAAATTCACTTATCTCAATTTAATTGAATAAAAAAAATTAATCTTTAATCATTATAGTTTTGACCCAATTGTAATGTAATTATTAAACTTTGATTCATTATAATTTAGTCCATAAAGTTTTGACTTGGTTATAAATCAGTCCTTGAATTTTGTATATTGTAATTTAGTCCCGAAATTTTAACATCTTAAATATTGATCTTTATATTTAAAAAAATAAAATTATAAAGATTAAAAATATTTTAAAATTTATTACTAATATCTTAAATTACTAAACCCTTTTAATCTTTATAAATATTAAAAATTTAAAAGATTTTTAATCTTTATAATTTTATTTTTTAAAATATAGGGATTAATATTTATGCAATTGAAACTTTAGGAACTAACTTGCAAGAAGCAAAGTTTAAAGATTAATTTACAACTGAGTCAAACTTTAAGAACTGAATTATAATGAGTCAAAATTTAGGTAATGAATTATAATTAAGTGAAAACTAAATGATCAAATAATTTATTTTTTAATAAATAAATATATTATGTGTATAAAATTAAGTATCTAAGTCTTAAATCTTACTTATCATGTTTTTGACCATTTGAATTATACAAATTACTTTTAACTAATTTTTAATCTTTATGAAATATCATATTTGAGGAAATATCTACAAGTAGGGAAGGATGCAAAGTGAATTCTCTACTAGTTGTAATTGTTACCATGTTAACAACTAACCCATCCTTTCGTGTACCGCAAATAATCTCTATTCTCATCAGCACAAGTAAGATCTAGAATTTAGTTAAGTGTACCTAATCTCTATTCTCATCAGCACCTTTTAGTTAAGATCTATAAGCCCTTATTAATATTATAACCTACAATTCTAGTCAAAAGATATAAGGAATGTATAAAGAGGAATTAATTGTGCATATGTATGTATCCGACGTGTCATATGGTTAATAAGTTTGTACTAAGTTGTAACAATGAATGTGCCATTGTCACATGACTGTTTGAATTGTGACAATGTGCAACAAGTTGTAGAGTGGGTTATGGTCACATGTTTATTTGTATTGTGACAATGTACCTTAAGATTTGAAATGTGAAATATGAAAATGGATAGTTGTGAAATTATGACTTATGTCATATGTATTCTTATATTTTGAATATCCAACTCCCTTTTATATATTTAAAATTAATTGATATATAACTATATAGAGTAAATATACATTAGTTATTCAATAGTTATAATCACCCTTCGCTTTAAATATTTTACAGGTTCTAGCTCTATTGCTGAAAGAAAAGATTCTAGAGGCTTAAAAATCTACAGTTCCTATTGTAAAGCCTCCTATCTTCATTTATTTTTATGTAATAGTTAAGAATACTGTCAATTAGGATGCATTTGGCTTACACTTGCATTATGTACATGTTTATAGCTTTGAAATGTATTTTGGGTCCTAGAATGTTGTATACAAGTTGTTAAGTGTTAATAGCATTAAAATACTAATGCAAGTTTAGGATTGTTGATTTGATCATAACTATAAATATTGATCGTGCAATGCAATGCTAAAAAGCTTCCCCTACTATTTTTGGTATTAAGGGATTGAGGAGTGAAAATTTGGTGTGACTAAAATTATATGTATGTAGTGTATTGTACTGATAGTCTTAAGTCCATTAAGTGTGATTTAGATGTTAGAAATAGTTTTTGGCACAAGTGTGTGGTTTTGGATACCCTTGAATTGTGAAAGTTGTGAAAAGGTCTGAAAATGTGTTTGGGTATCCATCCTCTTTGTGTAACATAATTTAGAAGTAAAACTCATCTCATTAGCTAGTTTATGAAAAAAGCTTTTAGTAAACACCTGGATCACATTATTCAAACGTCGGATGGAAAAATGAGATGCATTGAAAATTGCCTAAGTTTACTGTCAAATGACAATAGAATTGTTGTCTGAAACATGCAACACGTCACGGCGTATGGCACTTATGCTGCAGCACGTAGCCTAGAGAGGAATAGCTGTGGCACTTGTACACATGTCGCTGCACGTTGTCCTGTTTTTCTTTCCTTGTTGTTTTTTAAGTGATTTTGAGTCTTTTCACTCCCATGGGATATCCTATGCTTCCGAAACAATATTTTACTTTGATTAAAATTTTGTTAAATGATTGTTGAGTATTTTTAAACTATAAAAACTTGAAATTCTATTTTTATATATTTCAAACTTGGTAATCTAATTGGCTTAGCCCAATTATTGTCTTAGATTTATAGTAAATTGTGTTTAAGTAAGGGAAATTTTACACACAACACACATCCAAGTTCCCATTACCCTATTAATAATACTTCTTAACTTCTCCCAAACAAGCCTTTTTATCTTCAATTCTAGGGGCACTATAAATAAAAGTCACATAATTGTATAATGCCATACAACTATACAAAAGCCTTTTTATATTGTTTTAGCCACTACTAACAGCATATTTGTATGAATAATATTTTTTTAATAATGCCATACATTGATATCCACCTCACTTGACCACCAGATAGCTAAACCCCCTCCAATTGATATCCACCTTAATTGACCACCAAATAGCTAAACCCCCTTACTTCTTACAAGATCCACATAAAATTCTTCCTTTAAACTACACTTTTTCTTCAATTAAAATAACTTCCTCCTTTCTAACCTTATCTCTACTAAAAATACAACTAAAGGCTTATAAGTTTTACACTCTTCCTTAAGCTTCCTTATTGTCAAGGTCACCCCCGAACCTTAACAGTTCCATGATATAAACTTCATGGCTCTTGGATGGTTATTAAAGGCTAGCCACCATCACCTTCAATTAAATTCACACTTGCATGACTTAAATCCATACTAATGTTAGTATTCACCTTCCTCATTCTCCCTTTGCCTTTCACTCCTTTACAAAAATCAGCCTTCATAAATCTCTTGACTATTCATCTTCTTCCTCTTCTAATGCCTGATTTTACAAACCTTAAACTTTCAGAGAAAACTGTAACTATTGCTTTATGGCTAACCGTGCCCTAACCTATTTCCTATTTTATAAAAGGAACCAAGGCCTTAATCTTCTTTGTCTCATCAACTATCAGGCCTTCATGAGCATCAATCTCTCTATTACTATTATCAGGCTTAACTTCTTTGCCTTCTCAATCCTTTGTTCTGCTCAGCCCAATAATATTCAGCCCATCTACTAAAGGCCCATCCAGATCAAACCCTTTATGAAAGCATATTAATAGATGCAAAACTATGCAAGTTTTAGCACACAAAACTGAATGCTTATTCATAAGTGCAAAACCATACATGAGAGTTCATTGAGTTCACGCATGATTTATCACATATACATATTTGAAACAAGCCAAGTTTAATTTCATGTGTGATTATGCTTGGCACTTGTAAGAAATTGCACCAACGGATAGAATCACTGTTCCAACGGTCTATTAACTACCAAAAATATATATATGACTCATTTTAAGCCAGAACAAGAACTAATGATCTTTGAGCAAATTAATCATTATTTGAGTATTTGAAAGGCTTTCAAATTGTGCTTTTACATCTTGCATTCATTCATTATTCTTGAAAAGAATTGTAAAAAGCTCTCATAAGTTTGTAAGCTTTCAATTGTAATTTCATCTACTCTTTAATAGAGTTTTTTGCAAAAGCTTATTTCTTTCTTTAGAAATTTTGAAAAGGTATTTTTCAAGTATTTGTAACAACTTGTTGGATTGTAGCAAGGTTTGTTGAGTAATTCAAGACAAGTTAAGTCTTGAGAGTTGTACTGTGGTACTTGTGAATTTAGTTGAAAATCTAAAGTATGATCTTGAGGACTAGACGTAGGCCAAGTTTGAGGTTGAACCAATATAAATCTTGCGTGTCACATTTTCTTCCTTCATACTTAAGTTCTTCACTCTTTCAACTTTTAAAAAGTTTTAAGTATTACCTAATTCACCCCTCTTGGGTGCCAGCCTGTCTTAACATTTGGTATCGGAGCTTGGACTCTTGATCAAAGACTTAATAGTTTAAGAGGATTCTATGGATAGTTTTGGTAATAGTGTTCTCCCAAAAGGTGCTAAGATTAATAGGCCTCCAAGATTTAATGATGAAAACTACACCTTTTGAAAAAGTAAGATGAGATTATTCTTTGAAGCATGAAACCTTAATTTATGGGAGATTATTTAGAATGGTTCTTATATTGCATATAAAACTATAGAAGGACAACTTATAAGAAAAGAAAGGAGTGAATTCATAGAAAAGGAAGAAAAACTTCTGCTGCTCAACTCTGAGGCTAAATTAATTATTGCAAGTACCCTGAGTCAACAGGAGTACATTCACGTGAGTAATCTAAAAACAGAAAAGAAGATGTGGGATGCCCTAGAGATTGTTCATGAAGGCACTGAAGGAGTCAAGGAGAACAAAATGAGCACATTGACTTAGTAATATGAGTTATTCAAGATGAAATCTAAAGAAAGTATTAAAGATATGCAAGTCA